ATTCCCGTTTGCGGGGGAAAGTTTCGCTTGAAACCGAGTGGTGTACCACTATCATTAATGTTGTGAGACTGAGCCAGACTATGATCCGGCTCGTATCTATTATCCAATTATCTGTTAGAAATTCATTGGGGTGAAATTTCAGTATCCGGGCGACAAAGTCGTTTAGGAAGTCGTCAATATTCGCTAACATCGATGAGTTCGTTCAGTTCGATTCGAACGCTGAACAGTCGTCGCACAACCGAACCGGAGGTAAAGGTGACTTCTGATTGGCGAAATCATTCCTCTTCGATACTCAACACCTACAACAGTTACCAACGACCCACTCCCGTAAGCCCACTAGTGGAAGCTATCGCATGCCGGATTCGTTCCAGACTGCAGTCAATGCTAATGCTTCCGTTTACAACTTACGCTGCTCCGATTTTGGCTTGGCCATCAATTTCCTAACACTGCACCATTAAGTGAAGCCAAAATTCTCTAAATAATCAGAAACTGATTGATGTTAAAGTATTTTGCACATTCCGATCAGAGTCGTTCGAAAATACGAAAGAAGATCATTTCGTTATGAGATCGAGTCGAATTTTAGCCCGTTTTTCGTTGTAACATCGTTGTTTCTGGTTGTCACTTTTGCAGGTGCGGAACACTCTCATCATCCATATTCAAAAAGCTTACAGAATATGTGTATTGAAAATTCAGTTGGCCAAAGCTCTGTTAAATCTCACGAAGGCTGCCTGCAACGTTAACTTATAAGATGCGAAATATTTTCTTTGTTTGTATTGTGCGCTGCATTTTTTGCTGATTGTAATAACTGCTTTATGGTGTGCTCTTAACATGCAGTGGTGATTCACTTGCTCCGAGAGCAGGGAGTGTTAATTAATTGATCTTGGCTAGCAGTGAGTGATCTGTTCCAGACTGAATCGTATTCACTTTCGCGAAGTCAGTCGCAGTCGCAGATGGCGAACGAACGTAAAATCGCTCAACTTGAGCGACAAATTATGAGCGCACATACAGATATCGAGATACAAAAACGAGAAATCGAAGTCTATAAAGCGTCGCTTGTTGAAAGTGAGAAAGTGAGAGATCATTCAACATCTTTTAGTTTTCTATTCCAACTCCAGTGTATATTTTAGCTCTACTATAACAGCTGCTTTTATTCGTTATTTCACAAATTTTCTTCACAACAAAACATGCAAATAGTTCCACTTAAATGTATTCGAATTGTGAGCTCAGTCATACTTTTGAGATAACGACAGGTTGAGGTATAAAATCAGATGATTCTCATAGTCATTCGTATGACAACTCTAGCCATATTCCTGAAAACTGATGGTCATATTTTTCCATACGCATGAAGTGACTGCTTCAAGGAACGTGATTCGCTCTCACAGAAGGTGAGGAAAATGGCTGCGGATGCAAGCGCTATGGAGCGCTCGTTTGCTGAGGAAGAACGTAAAGCCCATGAAAGCGAGTTAAGGCTGAAGAAAGTCCAAGAAGAGTTAACTGCACTCAAGCAGAAACACGATAAAAGTTTAACTGAGAGTCGGTGTGAGCTACGTGAAGAGAAGTGAGTTTATGAGTCAGTCGTAATTCAGAATGATATCGTCAGTGCGCAGTTTGATTCTTTAGTTTCCGAGCTCACCTTTCACGTACATTACAATGTTATTGTTGAGGAAGAGGATGAGGCAAAAGATGGAGGATTTAATCAAAGAGCAAGAAGCGAAGAGAGTACCGCGAAATGCACATTTGGAAAAAACACTCGAAGAAACCCAAATGCAACTAGCTGAAACACGCTCCCAGTTGGATCGTGCTGTAACACAAGTAAACTATTTTGTATTTATGGAGTTTTAAGATCATTGAAATATGATTTCTTCGTTTGCACACTCTGAAGTTTCGTATCGCAGTGCGAATGAAAAATTATCGAAACTAAAACTCAAAGATAAAACTCCTTCGAATGAGAGCATTTCAAACAGAATTTCTTTAGATTACTCATTTGGAAAGTCTTTCGAAATCGCAAGGAGCCTATGGCGAGACATGGGAGAATCAATACAGAATGGCAATGACTGAACTGGAAGCACTCAGAGATGAAAATGCTGCGTTAAAAATGAAAATACGACGACAATATAAGCAAATCGAACTCCTTACACGTTGGTTTTTACATTTTTTCATGGAAATTTTACACTTAAGGATGAATGTTCGTTTTAGAAAGTCAGTTTTTTCTACACACAAACCAGCTGCTATAAGAACATTGCCCTGAGAACTAGACTGACTCAGACAAGCCCAAGGGTCTAATCCAAATGGAACGTAACAACGGTGTAATTATTTCAGAACAGTCACAAATGGAAGCTGATGTAGCAGATCTCGAGAATCGAATCGGTATTAAAGATGATGAACGAAATATCGAGAATGGTAATCCGACAGCGGTTGCAAATTAATTATTTTGTGGATTTGTTTCACGTTATCGATCACATAATATTTTGCTGCATTTTATTTAACTCGGGTTTTCTGTTGTTTGATTGTATTCTACGGGATAACGTCTAACAAACTGTGATTCATGATCGCAAAACGATCGATACAGGCGTCTGAGTCAGCCGAAGCCAGACTGAACGGTGAAGTTTGCGGTGAAATGGACAAGATCTTTATCGAAACGTTCACCTCAGTCATCAGTTTAGAATTTATGATCAATTTCTTGTCATGCTTATTGAAGCGATACAAAGGGAAACCTTTCATATTTTCAGATATTGACTGTAACAATGCGAATATTATCAAACTGATGAAATCGTTAACCAAATAAGATTGTAGCATATCCTCCAAAGGTTGTTGCTCTAAGGGAAACTCCTCAAGTTGGTTTGGAAACTCCATTCATTTGCCATTATTAGAGCAATTGTAGGGTTGAATTGTTTTCCTTGTTACATGCGCAATTCGCTTGTATGCTGAAAGGCTAAGAATTTTTTTGACGTTCCTAATTTCGAACATATTTATTCCGTCTGTTGTGTTTTCGATGCAGTCACGATGAGTTTGTTGTTTGAGAAAAAAAAACTATCAATGAGAGATGGGATTTGTGAAGGCACTCAATTGCCAATAAAATAAATGCATGTGAAACAGCATAAGGTATATTAATTCAACGTAGATATCTGACTAATGAAATTTTGTCAAAAGTAATCATTCGGCATCATTGTCGCACTGAGTATTTAGCACTGCAGTAATGCGAGATGCTCGGTGTGCTGATGTTGGATTGATTGGTGAGTTGAATGGGAACTTTCATGATCAGAGCAATTTTTGAACCCGGAAGCAAACCATTTCAACCGCGATTGTCTTGTGATGCTTCAGATGATTTGAGCACTCAAAATTTTTCTCTGCTTCACTCTCGGCAAAGCAAACACTTACACTTACTTTCATCAGTACCAGGCGAGGTGCATACTTTTCTTACCTGTTAATGAATACCGATACACTGACTTCTCCACCTCTTCCTTATCACCATGAAGCAGTTATTGTGCTCCTTATGAAAGAATCGCGAATATATTTTTATTTTTTGTTGTTATTCTTGTTTTCGAAATTGAAAGTTGATGAAAAAATATTTTATTGTTTCATGCGAATCACTTTTCAGCTGATATTATAGTTTACATTATTATTATTATTATTATTTATTTAAATGCAGTCATTGTTAATTTCAATACCGGTGAATAAAATTTTACTCAGTTTCGTCCTCCATTCACTTGCCAACTGATCAACAGTGCTGTGCAATAATTTTGGTTTTCAATAAGATTTGCTCTGATTCACGAATCTTTTCGAATTCATCCGATATAGCCGAAATGTCCTCAGAACTGTCTCTAGTGCTTCCCTCTGGCCATGGTAAACTAAAATAGACGATGAATTATTNTGACAATCTTCAATTTTTTGATTTTGATCTCGGTTTTTGTTCTGTGATACTTCAGATGATCTCAGATCTCAATAACTTTCTTCTGCTTTACTCTCAACAAGATAAAAACACTTACTTTCGTCCATACCAGGTGAGGTGCATAATTTTATTTACATCCTGATCGGTATAAAAAAACGTAATCGGTATTCCAATCGCAAGCATTATCATCATACCTATGCCAGCGTATGAGTAGGTTGATAACCTTAAAACAGTAGCCGAATGGTTTGGTTGTAAGTTACTCGTAATTTGTTTAGTACACTTAGTTCGATGATGAACTCAGATACATCAGAATTCATATCAAGTTAATGACTGCTGATAAATAAATCCATGCTTAATTCAAATGCCCATGTGTTATAGGCTTGGGCGAATGGACTAAATTAGTTATAGATTGTCTTTTGCTGTGACAGAGCTTCAATGGGAACATTTCATATGTTTCAAGGGTGTTTGAGGAGAGCATTCTTCCTACCTAGCGATATATGAGGCATTTGGATCGCCAAATTGAGCATCATAAGGCGGTTGTGGTCGTATGGTGACATTGAGTCCATTACAACCCTCAACACTGAAAACATTAAACCAACTCCCTCGATTTGACGAAACTGACCGAATGCTGACATATCTTTCAACGCTCATGAACGAACGAAAATTCCAGAATATTTTACGATATTATCTTTACTTTAATATTTTTTTGAAATCACTGATTCGGCTGTAGTAATTATTGAATTGTTCAAATCAAAATTCGATATTAGATTATAAATTGCCCGCTTAAGATCAGCAAAAATGTACGTTGAATTGGTGGGTAAGAAGAAATGCTTGTATGGATCTTCTGCATAATTCATCATGCACACAATGATCATGAGAATATTCGAGATGGTAAACGAAATAATTGTTGAAAGGAATCCTGCACGAGGCCAGAACATCGCCAACACAAATATGCCAACAAATGGACCCGATAAGGCACCCATAACGCTTATACACATCTAAATTTCAACATGGTGTGATAAACTGAGCAATAGAGTCGATTATTTATGGCACATCTTACAATTTCAGAGAAGATTTTTAGAGAAGATGAACAACTTTTCAGATGTGTTTTTGATTGCCCCATGTTTTTTTTTGGGAATTGTTGAACCTTGCCTTGTATTCAGCTTACTTGAAAAGATTAGTCTGAATACGGCTATTGTTAGCACTCATCAAATGTTTACCCGAAGAACTCCACCAAGTGGCTCGGCTGCGAACGCGAGACCGGTCGACAGCAGTCCATAGAATAGAACGAAACCCTGAAAGAATTATTATCGAATATGAAACACACAACATATCGTTTTTCAAACAATGCCACTTCAAGGCCCCCTCATAAATGGGAGACCTTGAAGGCTGAAATTGATGGATGATCCAAGAAAATTTAGAAATGCTTTTTAGAAGACTCTTCGACTAGTTGATGTTTACACGTAAAAAATGGTCGTACTTTATTGATAGCTGTCGCTTGTGCATCACTAATTTTGTGATCAATGCGATGCTTCAAAAAATCTTCGTAAGTTGCCGCAGCCATACTGTTCATGCCGGACGATAGCGTGCTTAACGTTGCAGACATTATGCAAGAAACATATAGACCGAATAGCCCGGGTGTTGGAGCTTAAAAATATTGAAATCATTTTCATTCGGATCTGAGTTCATCGTAAGTTCACGAGTTCTGAATAAATTTGCCTGATTGTGAGCGATTTCCACTTCGCACAATGAGTAGATTCATTCCATTGATCATCGAATGACTACACAAACAATAAAAGTTTGTATCCAAGTCAAAAATATA